ATAAAAGATTTGCATTAAAATCTTGGCATATAAAGAACAAATCTATTACTATCATTATAAATATGCCACCAAATTCATTTCGTAAAAAAATATGTTTCTGTTTGTCATAATTACATTTTTCTATAGTAAAAAATAAAAATAAAAAATTAAATTAATAATAGAATAAACTACAAAATTTGATCCCTCTGATTTGTCGAATATAATACTTTTCTTCGATGATCGTTTCAAAATTACAAAATGACTATCATAGTTTGCAAAATTAAATGTTTATGCAACAAATTTATAAAAGGTTTTTGGTCTAACGGTATGTGAGTTCTTGGCCTCTTAGGAAGTCAAGGGTTTAAACCTTACAAAAAATAAAAAGAATATGTAAGTTTATTTATTTTATTTACCGTATATAAATATTATTATATACTAAAAAAAAATTCATAATTTTGAGAATAATTAAAAAATTGGTGAATTTTCCCACTAGCATCCAAAAGCAGCACTCACCTCAAGAAATCATTGGTCTCTGTCTACTACCATTTATCCATTCTACCCAAATTTAATTTCATCAAGGACCACATTTAATAATACAATTAAAATAACTAATTTCCATTATTATAAATAATAAAAAAATCAAATTTTAATGTATTATAAATCAATCATTTGAATTGTGATACCAAATGACTTTCTCCAACCACATTTTGACTATCAACATATTTGGTAATGAGAATGTCATATATATATATATATATATATATATATATATATATATATATATATATATATAAATAATGGGGTTTTCTTTTTTTTTTGGATGCTATAAACAAATACATGTTCTTTTTATTATGCGTTTGTTATTTTTCAACTTCGTACGAATCAAATTCTATTTTATCAATTTTTAAGTGTATGGTCCTTTTCTGATTTTGTTCAATGTATCAGCTAAGTCAGTGTGACGCACACAATAACGAAGACGATTCATCACCCATTTATCGTTTTAGTATACAGTTTTAATTGTTAATTATTATAAAATGTTGATATATTAGTTTCGGAGACGTTTCTTCTTATTTATCATTGTCGATGAATATTTGAATATTTTTTCCCATGATTGTTCCATTTTGACTTTCATCTTCACTCTTGTATTTACACAAAAAAGTTATATATATATATATATATATATATATATATATATATATATATATATATACAGGGTTCACGTGAGATCAAGGGTATTTCGTGAGACCCGTAAGACTAATTTATGTTCATTGATCAACTTTATAAGCAAATGATCTATTGGTCTAAAGTTGCACGGTGACAATTTTGTGATTATGAATGTTCAGATTGTAGATCAAATCCAAGGGTTGAGAATTGGTCTTATGAGTCTCACGAAAAACCATTGATCTTACATGATCCCAAGCCGAGATCTTGTGAAACCAGTCTGTTTTCGTGAGACCAATGAGACCACTTTTTTACACTTAAAACTTTACAGTAAAACGCTGTGAATGTTGTTTTTGTTGTGAAGGTTCGACTTTCATTTTACCTTAACAACGTTTTGTTGTGAAGTTTCAAGTGTAAAAAGGTGGTCTCACGGGTCTCACGAAAACATGTTGGTCTCACGTGAACCTAACCCTATATATATATATATATATATGTGTGTGTGTGTGTGTGTGTGTGTGTTAGGTTAAGTGTTGAGATTTTTTTTATGGAAGTGGCTTAATTAATGAGAAGTAGTCTTAACATATTGTGGTAAAATATAATATGTATTATGGATATGATACGATGAACTCGAAAATGAATAAAAATTTAATTATTTTTTGAAAATTTATTATCATTTCTTTTAAATTATTAAAATTTAGCGACAAGTCAACGACGGAAATTTGTCCCTAAAAGACCCTCGCGATAACCTGGTTTGTCGCTAATCCATCACTAATTTGATCGGTGCTAATCCGTCATCCTTCGCTGAATTAATCTGTCACTAAAAATTAGTCCATCCCTGATCTGTCGCTAAGTTCTATCGCTAATCCGTCCTTGATGGTATCATCCACGACCCTTTTACCCAGAGACTATCCATCTTGATCCGACCATTAGCAACGGTTTTTTTGTTGTTGCTAATAGTCCTTAGTTTTGTAGTGTTTGAAAATGGATATTTATCAGAGAGAATATATATATATATATATATATATATATATATATATATATGTATAAATTAAAAATACTAGATTTTCTTTCTTTTGGAAGGTAGGTGAAAAGGGTTGAAGAACACTTCCATTTCACGTGTCCTTTCACTACAGCTTTGTACAAGTCACTTTAAACCGTTAACTTTTTTATTTTCCGTTAATATTTTATTATAAATAAAATAAACCGATTTGTAGAAGATTAATTATATTTATGGGTGTTTTAAATAAACAAATCATAATCAATTTTTATATTAGAAAATAATTCAGATATTTATGAATAATTATTATGATTCATATATATATATATATATATATAATAAGATTCATTTATTATTATTATAACTTTAGATTAGAAAACAAAACAGAATCATAACGGTTAAGATGTGGTTTTTATAATTTGTTAGATTTTTTTTGAAAGGCCAAATCAGATTATATCAAACAAAACAAGAACTAGAAGAGATCAGACAACAACATTCTGCAAGAGGCAGAAAAGCAGAACAAAATGCTAAAAAACTATTCACATAAAAGGACAACATGGCCAACGAACAAGAAAAACCATACCAAAAAATGAACAAAAAGTGAAAGCGGAAGGCCTCGAACCCAAACACCGCCAATACCAGAGTAGCCAACTACCAAATGCTTTTTGAAAGAACACAAGAAGGATGCACATAACTAAAAAAGGCACAAAGCATCTAACTTTTGGAATCTCGAACCAACAAAATAGCAGCAAAGCAACCGAAGAGGAAGAGCCCGATGGTGGGGTTTAAGTCTATTTTACAAACCCTTTAATTCTAACAAATTATACAAACCAGTTCTTAGCCGTTCGTCTAGTCTATGAGATATAAGATTCTATTTTGTTTCATAATCAAAAGTCATGACATAATAAATAAACCTTATCATCTTCCATGTATATATCTTAATAATTATGAGCAAGTGTTGAATCAACATAGATCCAATTATACTTGTTCAAATACTATCACTAAGAATACAAATACTATGTCTACATATTACATACACACACACAACACACACATATGTCTACAGATTACATACACACACACAACACACACATATGTCTACAGATTACATACACACACACACATATATATATATATATATATATTTTTTTTTTTCTTGTTTTTTAAATAGTTAACATTCACGTTTGAACCTTCTCCCTCTCTCTACCCCTTCTTTCTCTCTCTCTCTCTCTCTCTCTCTCTCTATATATATATATATATATATATGTCTCAACAATTAATTCCTAACACATTATTATATACTTTGTTTAGGTACATTTTTTAATTCTCTTTTCAATAAAATAACATGACACAACTAGCATCGAATCGACGAGAGGTAACGACTAAACACCACATTGCCACCTTTGAGGCCACCATGCCAAATTTAGCTTCTATTGCACACATATCTTTATTGCATGATGAGAATTCTCTCAAATAATTGGACTTCAATTCCTAGATGGAGTATTACATATATGCAGTGACAGATTTAAACGAGAAGCTAAACGTTTTGTGAGAAGACGAGAAGTCTCAATATCATATATGATTACACGTACGATACACAAGTTTAATCACATATGATTAAACACATGTTGCATTGACAACACATATATAAATGTTTAATGTTTAATCATATATGATTAAACACTCCTTAAGAAGTGTAATCTTATATCAGGACTTCTCACATTCTTGCAAAATGTTTAACTTATTGCATGGTTTTCTTCTTGTATGTATGTATGTATGTAAGTGTATTTGTACATGTATATATATACGTATACGTATCATAAAAATAAATGATGATGATGATGTGCAATGATTTAAAGAAAAATTCCAATAGATATTTAGTACCCTAAGAAAAAGGCAACTTAAGAATGAATGAAGACCTCACACTACTTACAGACTCATGGCTCATGTACCTTTCCAACTCCATCTCTTCCAACCCCACCAAATTTATAGCTAAAAGTTCGAAAAACCGACTCATCGATCTAAAAACCAATCAACGAAAAATAAAAACGAATTCGTCAAACAAAGCCAAACATAAACCGAAATCGAACACTTAATTATTTTGTCCCTCAACACGTGTACGGCAACCGAGTAATTTGACGTTGAATTTTTGATGTATGTATACACATACTTAACTATAACCATCGTTATACATACATGTATCTTTGTTAAGTGGTTTTCAAAATCATAGAAATTACTAACATTTTCTTGTTTTTAATTAATTAATAATCAAGATCAAGGGTATTTTCGTCATTTCACATCTAGGGTTGCTATAATTGGGTTTCTTTTTACATATAAAAGGGGCTTAATGTTCGAGCTAGCAAAGTAAGTCGATCAAACTTCTCTTTGGTCTCCTCTCTCGGTACAACAAGATTTCAGTTTCCTTTTTTCTTTGGTAAGTACAAAAGCTTATATATATATGTGTGTGTGTGTGTGTGTGTATATATATATCTTCATGCATGTTCACTTAAGTGCTTGTTAACATAAACTTGAAAAATGGTTCCTTTTTGTTTCTATACGATCCATTGGTGAAATGGGTAAGACTCAGATATGTAATCTTTAGCTTTTAATATACATATATATATATATATATATACACACACACTCTCTCTCTCTCTCTCTCTCTCTCTTCTGTGTTTAGCAAATCTTTTGCATTCAGGTGGTGTCGATGATTTGAAACCAGTAGATAATTCTTTATATATAGATACACACACATATGTGTGTATATATATATATATATAATGTTTCCATTCCCTTGATTATTATTGGTTTAATTCTTGGTTTACAGTTGTGTTTTGAATGTCATTTTATAGGGAAAAGATTGATGGAGAAACCGAATTTGAATCTAGGGTTATGGAGAACACAATCAGATCAGCTCGCAGAGATAAAATCCCAGATGCCAATAAGTGAAGCTTCCCCGGCGGAGGGTGGTGGCACACATTCAAGAAAGTCTAGCAGACAAATGGTGGTTGCATCGCCTGGCCGGAGTGGTGGCAGTAGCGGCAAAAACACACACATCAGAAAGACGAGAAGCGCCCAGATGAAATTCGAACTCGATGACGTTGGTAGTGGCGCTGCCTTAAGTCGAGCTTCGAGTGCTAGTTTAGGGTTTTCTTTCTCGTTCACCGGATTCACCATGCCTCCCGATGAGGTCGCGGATTCAAGACCTTTCAGCGATGATGATATACGTAAGTATTTACAATTGATTAATCCCAAAAAGATTTTTTCTTTACGTGTGTAGAAAGTTAACTTATATTTTCGTATAACTTTTATTGCATAAAAAACAAGTAAAAAATATCTAAGGGTAAAATGGTCACATTATCCCTTGGAGGGTAGGGTTTGTGTTTAAAGTAGCAACTCCCATGCTCCCATGCTCCCATGCTCATACTTTTTGGTTGTCAAAAAGACAAAAAAGTCCTTGGTTATCTCTGTTTTCAATTTTTCCACATATATATTTCACATTTTTAGTAATATATTTATTCATATATCTTCAAAATAACAATAAGATTCATATGAATTTATTCATATCACAGTTTGCCAACTGTAACCAGCTAACTATTAGGACAGGCCCAAAGTCTTCATTTGGTGTCAACGTAAATGGGCCCCATAATGTAGAAAGTGGGCCATATGGCCCATTGCCTACAATCAGGTCAACATGGATGTCTGCTTTAAACGCACATAACCGTTGCTCTTGGTTTTTGTTCCATCATTACAACAAAATTGATTTTATAGGACGTCTAAAGTATAGAAGTGTCCTTAAACAATATCATAGGACTTTTATAGGACTAAACCAAAAAAAAGTCCAATTTAAAAGCGTTACAATAGAATTAAGCGTACATTTTTTGGCTTTTTAGGAAGTCTTTTAGGACGATTTTAGAATGGAGTGTCATATTAACTATTTTACACGACACTATTTGAAAAAGTGTCTTGTAAACACAACTGTTTTATAAAAAGACGGGTTTACAAGACCTTTCTCAAAAGTGTCGTATCAAATATTTTATTCGACAGTTAAAAAAAACTTGTTAAAATGCCTAAAACATCTTATAAACCTATTAAAACGCTTTGAGATAAGATGCTTTATGGTTTGATCTTGTAAACCGTACTGTAAAACTAATTTTGTTACAATGACTTGGAGTTTTTTGATCAAAACTTTGACCCTTCTCCCCATTTCTCTTGTTCATCTTACTTTCCATAAACCTGCAACATCAATGGAGATCGAAGATGAGAACACAAAACTGAACCTAATTTTGAACATTTAGTAACAAAATGATGATGGATTTAGGGTTCTGGAATACAAAAAATGTGCCATTAATATATGCTTCTTACAGCGGAAGACATAGAAGCTGGGACGCGTAAGAAGTTCCAAACCGAACCCACCTTGCCAATATATCTAAAGGTATATATATACATTTTCATAAGAACAAGTAGTCGATGTCGAATCCGTATGCATAAACAGATTAATTTTGTCTACAACTATGATCTATTTGAACAGGCAAAGATGGAGGTTTTATCTATGAGATCAAGGCTATGGCTATCAGTCAGGTGTAGTCTTGTACAGAGTCTCATATCCATGGCATTTATGTACAAGACTACTACTTCAAACAAAATCCATCAAAAATATAATATCAACAACCAAACTTGTATACATATATATATATATATATAGGGTTGGGTTCACGTGAGACCAAAGGTTTTTCGTGATACCCGTAAGACCAATTTATGTTCATTGATCAACTTTATAAGTTAATTATAATCTAATGGTCTAAAGTTGCACGGTGACAATTTTGTGATTATTGAGAGGTCTCGTGGCAATTTTGTGATTATGAATGTTCAGATTGTAGATCTAATCCAAGGGTTGAGAATTGGTCTTATAGGTCTCACGAAAAACCCTTGGTCTCACATGATCCCAAGTCCATGTGTGTGTATATATATCATGAACTCAAGAAAACAGACAAAAATGGTCTCATATCAACCATCACTCCTGCTCAATTAGTTTGTCCAGTTTTAGCAAACAGACTAGGAAATCACAGTACAACAAAATCGTGGTTATAGGACGTTAAAAATGTTTAAGTGTCCTAATAGACTACTTTATAAGAAAGTTCATGGGACCAAACATTTGTGTGTAATATCTAAAAGTGTTGTAATAAGTTTATTAGATATTTTTAGTGTCCTGTAAACCCGATTTTATTGCAATGTCATGATGTTTACTCATAAAACTAATGGAAGATCTAATACATTGATATGCAGTTTACAGAAGTGACATACAAGATAATCATTAAAGGAATGACGACATCTACAGAAGAGAAGGATATTCTGAATGGAATCAGTGGTGCAGTGAATCCAGGAGAAGTTTTGGCCTTAATGGGACCTTCCGGAAGCGGAAAGACTACGCTCCTGAGTTTGCTCGGAGGCCGGTTGACGGTTCCTTCGGCAGGGGGATCGATCACATATAATGACCAACCACACTCCAAGTTTCTAAAGAGCAGGTTATTAGGACATTCAGACATATTTAACATCCTATTCTGTCGCAGTCTAAAATAAGGACCTTAAATAACAGCAAATTATTGTGTGCAGGATTGGGTTTGTGACTCAAGATGATGTGTTGTTTCCTCATCTAACGGTGAAGGAAACGTTAACGTACGCAGCTCTTCTACGACTGCCAAAGACGTTAACGAAACAAGAGAAAGAAAAACGAGCAGCAGATGTCATCCGCGAACTTGGATTAGAGAGGTAATTTTTTTCCGCTGTATACCAAACCTCTCTTACGGGTCCATGATGGTGACCTGGTAAGCTAAGGGAGGGACATGTTTAGAAACAAAAAAACTTGGATTTCTGCATAAAGTTCGCTTCTAAAAGCTTACTGAATAAGCCACTTTCTACATCATTAAACCACTTTCTACATCATTAAGCCACTACCAATTATAGTTGACCAAATAAGTTGCGAGTCCCATAAGCTTATTAAGCTGCTAACAATTAACAAACGTACCCTAATTTACTCGGTCCAGACTTGCACTCTTATCTAGCTAGTGCTTATCTAACGACCGCTTAACCAACTGTTGCTATGTTAAACAGGTGTCAAGATACAATGATCGGCGGCTCCTTTGTTCGGGGAGTTTCGGGTGGCGAAAGGAAGCGTGTGTGCATTGGAAACGAAATAATAATCAATCCTTCCGTCTTGTTCCTCGATGAACCCACCTCCGGCTTGGATTCAACAACTGCTCTCAGGATCATCGAACTGTTACAAGACATAGCCGAGGTATGCTTAGGCTAGGTTCGGCAAAGTAGCTGATAAGCTGGTTATTAGCTGATCTGTGTTGTTTTTGTATTGTTCACAGACGGAGAAGACGGTGGTTACCACGATTCACCAGCCATCGAGCAGACTTTTCCACAAGTTCGACAAATTGATCCTACTCGGGAAAGGAAGCTTGCTTTATTTCGGAAAAGCATCGGAAGCTATGGTATATTTTTCATCCATCGGATGTTCTCCCATGATCGCCATGAACCCAGCCGAATTCTTACTCGATCTTGCAAACGGAAACATGAATGAAGTCTCCGTTCCTTCGGAATTGGCGGACCGGGTACAACTCGGAAATTCTCAAAGAGAAACAAAAAATGGGAAACCTACACCAGCAGTTGTACATGATGTAAGTATGATATACACCATCAATGATCAAACTAAACAAAACCAGCTTCAAATATGTCTAAATGTTCTAATAGACTAAACAAAACCAGCTTCAAATATGTCTAAATGTTCTAATAGACTGTTTGATTTGCAGTATTTAGTGGAGGCCTACGAGACAAGAGTAGCTGAAGAAACAAAGAAGGAGCTGATGATCCCAACGCCCCTCGATGAAGAAATCAAATCGAGTGTGCAAACGATGAAACGAGAATGGGGCGCGAGTTGGAGAGAGCAATATTCGATATTGTTCTGGAGAGGGCTTAAAGAACGGCAACACGATTATTTCAGCTGGTTGAGAATCACACAAGTTCTTGTAACCGCAGTTATTTTGGGACTTCTCTGGTGGCAATCAAGTGTTCATAACCCCAAAGAACTTGACGATCAAGTACAAAATCTGCTTTACAGGACGCCAAATATGTTTAAATGTCTTGCACACTGTTTTATATGACTTAAGTTGATAGAACCAAACAATTATGTGTCATATGTAAAAGTGTTTCATGGTGGTTTGCAGGCAGGATTGCTGTTTTTCATTGCTGTGTTTTGGGCTTTTTTTCCGGTTTTTACAGCCATCTTCACATTTCCTCAAGAACGAGCGATGTTGAACAAGGAAAGAGCTGCGGACATGTATCGATTGAGTGCTTATTTTATGGCAAGGACTACGAGCGACCTTCCCCTCGATCTGTTTCTTCCAATGCTCTTCCTAGTTGTTGTTTATTTCATGGCAGGCCTCCGACAAACCGTTGACTCGTTTTTCCTAACCATGGTCATCGTCTTCCTCTGCATCGTAGCGGCTCAGGTATGTCATTACTAAATGTTTTAATAGACTGCTTTATAGAACTTTAGTTTATGTATTATAATTGTATTTTAGTTTGTATTTATCATTCTAACAAGCTGAAACTTTTAGAAGTGTCATAAAATATACATTTTTATCGTTTTAAAAAACGTCGTATCAACTTATTGCAACACCAGACTTACAATTGTTAATTGTTTGGTCATATAAACAATTTATATTTATGACATTTAGACATACTTAACGTCATATAAAACTGATGGCAGGGACTTGGACTCGCCATTGGTGCTACGCTAACGGACTTGAAAAGAGCAACAACTTTGGCTTCTGTAACCGTAATGGCCTTCATGTTGGCCGGTGGGTATTTCGTGAAGGTAAGAAACAAATATATACATACATCTATAGACACACATAATCATTTATAAAACCACTAAACCGTAGAAACTTATGGTGTTTATACAATACTGTTTCATATGTGAAACATGGAGAACCGTTCTGTGTGTGGAAAAGAAGTCTTGAATGTTGCATACATGAAAACTGATTTGTAAGTCTGTACAAGTTATCGGGTTCGTAAAAGAAGCGGACTCTCGAATCTTGGCATTTAATCTCGATCATTCGTAATTGACGTAAACAATCGATGAAATTGCAGGATGTTCCAATATTCATATCGTGGTTACGTTACTTGTCGTTCAACTATCATACATATCGACTTCTTCTGAAAGTTCAGTATGAAACAATAAGTCCCGTGATCGATGGAATAAGACTAGATAGCGGTTTAAAGGAAGCTACAGCATTGGCGATCATGGTTTTCGGCTACCGTCTCCTGGCGTACATATCGTTGCGGCGAATGAAAGTTGGCTAAATTAATACCATGAACTAAAACCACATATTTTGACTTGATACCAAAGCAAAAAAGGGAAGAAGAAGAAGAACTCTGAGAGCCTCTGCTATCAAGTTGTGAAACCACAATGTAGCAGAATGAATGCATTGTAACATGAAAAGGAGAAGTTTACTTGCTATTTTTAGGCCATTGAGGGTTGTAACAAAACAAAATCAATGAATTGATGTTTATCTCGTCGTGTTAAAAATGTCGGTGGTATACACTCGGTTCGTTTGGTTTATTTATGTACAGACTTTAAGAGCTACAACTAACGGTGACCATGGTTTAAGTCGTTGGTAATGATACCAAACGGCGGACCCACGAAATTTTCCGAGTGCTTGTATTTTCAAGGTGGATTAAAAGCCTGTAAAATCGTGAGTAAATCAAAGAAGCTTTTAATTGGTTATAATTGGCTCATTTGTTGCCGATCATTCCACAACAGGTTTCTAGCCTTAATTGCCAAACTCAACAGCAGGCAATTACATAAAGAGTCAAACCTCCCACTTACTTTATAGGATAAGATTTTTAATCCATATATTGGATGCAATAATTACCTGACAAGTATTAATCGGTCGTCACTCTCGCTTTTTTTGTCTCATGTTATGCTTGGACTAATCCTGCAAATTATGACTATAAGAAATCAGTTTTGATAAACTCGGTGGTTATAATTGTTATGTACAAAATAGAACCTTGAACAGATGGAAACTCATATTTCTTGAGTTTTTATAAAATAAAACTTGGTTTTTATCTTGAATTCTATACACATTTTATTAATCTTTTATATACTTTTTATTTTATTTTCCTTATTTAATGTTGAAATAATATATGAAATTACTATCGTTATAAAGTTATATAATACTTGTTAACTTGTTGATTTGCAAATAATAATATGCCGTTTACCAAACGCTTACCCGAGTAAATGCTTATTAAGTCACTTTACTTTATCGGATGAATATGACAATGACTAAAAATCTTACCCGTTAAGAGCAAATACAAGAATCGAGAGTCTTACCCGGTAAGTGAAGGCAAATACTCTTACCATGATTAGTGCTTATCGGGATAACTTATTGCATATAATGCGTTTTAGTGAATAAAATCTTACATGATAAGTAAATGATAGTGTTAAATCTTACCGGTAAGTGCTTACCGAGTAAGAGTTTAGGTTGAAATTTTTTTTGCAAAAACGTCGCTTTCAGGATATACCAAAATTTAACGGTTGACAATTTACCAATCGATTTCGTTATTTTGGGTTTCCATTCGCTCGTTGTCACTGCCATCTTGTCTCATCCCGAGATATACCCGCCTACCCGGTAAGAAATCTCTCTAACCGATACATACAATTTTGCATTTTGATTTCTTGATGCTGAAAACCTATCTTGATGATCGATTTCATCTCAATTGTTCATATCTACAAACTTCTTTGATTTCCAATCTGGCAGTGGGTTAGTTTTCCCTAAATGAATTGTTTGTGAGATCGATGAAACCCTTTGATCTGTCTGGGTTTGATTTTGATGAATGGTGCAATCCGCAATTGAATCGAATGAATTTTTGGTTTAATGTCATCATGTATTAATCAGGATTGATTACTTGTTATCGTCTTAAATGTAGGTCTAATTAACGTGCCATTGATATGTTTTTTCTTATAAACACCTAAAATGGATCTTATCATTTAGACTGGATCCCCAAATTCGAAATACGAGTTGTAAATCTTCTCAGCCATTCACAGTTTTCTGGCTCCATTGATGGGATTGATCTCAATCAGTGTTAGATGCATAATTCAGAAATCGTGTGAATAGGAAAGTATGCCTTTTTATTGCACTTCATTGAAGGGTTATAGACTTCTGACATTTTGTTCAAAAAGAAACCACAATTCTTGTAAAAATGCCAAGAAGAATACAGTTTACAGGTTTTCGACTTAAATCATACTGGTGATTTACTGGTTTACAGGGTTTAGTGACAAGGAGAATCATGGATCGGCTTTCGAGTTCTCCACGTCTCATGATCGTTTCAGATCTTGACCACACTATGGTAGGTGCTACTCATATAATACAAAATACTTGTCTAATAGACAACCTAAGATGTGTCGCATTCATAGAGTCCAAATTTTAACATTTAGATATATCATATTCCTAAAATTGAACCGAGGGATTGTTTACCACCTGCTTATTGGGTAAGTGATGCTTACCCACTACCAGTCAGAGATGCTGCTCTTCACCAAGCCTCTTATTGGTCCATGATGTTGACCGATATGGTAAGTCCAGGGTGGGACTCTTAGGGGCTGTTTGGTTGGTTTTCTATGAAGTCATATATGGATAAAATTGTGGATTAATCTGTCTGTTTAGATTAGGAATGTTTTTGGTTGGAAGGGTTTTCTCAATGGAAGGTTCGTGCTTTTTAATTGGGATGACATGTTCAGAAAAAAACTTGGCTTTCCACTAAAGCTCCCCCTAGAAGCTTATTGAATAAGCCACTTTCCATATCACTAAGTCACTACCAAACAGTCATGTATAACTGATGAATAAGTTGTGAGTTCCATTATGCTCATTAAGCTGCTAATAAACAGGCCCTTACCCGGTTAGAGCTTGCCCAATTTGGGTTGGTAAACATCCCCTGAGAAATTTGGGTTGGTAAACATCCCCTGAGACTGGTTAGTATGCCGTTATGCTAACACATTATATAGTATTGTGTGGTTTATGAAAAGAAATGTGTTGCAGGTTGATCATCATGATCCTGAGAACCTTTCCATACTAAGGTTTAATGCCTTATGGGAGGCTAAATACCGTCAAGATTCACTGCTAGTTTTCTCAACTGGAAGATCACCTACTTTGTACAAGCAGTTGAGGAGAGAGAAGCCAATGCTAACCCCAGACATAACCATAATGTCTGTGGGAACGGAGATAACATATGGTAATGATATGGTGCAAGATGAAGGTTGGATTGAGTTTTTGAATCAGAAATGGGATAAACAGATAGTCTCAGAAGAAACAAGCAAGTTTTCTGAACTCACTATGCAGGTATGATTCATAGATTGCCTCATGTGATTGTTGATTTCATATGCAAGTTACACTATTGCTATCACCGCTATAAAAATGTTTATTTCCACTAAGTTATGACCTCGGTTTGGATTTATTTTGGTGTTTATTGTGTTTGATGGTAACTAAAGGGCTGTTTGATTGGTTTTCCATTAAGTCCTGTATGGAAAAAGATGTATGTGTAGATTTATCTGTCTGTATAGATTAGGAAGATTTTTGTTTGGGAGGGTTTTTCCATAGATAGAAGAGCATGTTTTTAATTGACGACAGGTTTGGAAAAAAAAACTTGGCTTTCTACATAAAGTTCCCCCTGGAAGCTTGTTGAATAAGCCACTTTTCATATCATTAAGCCACTACCAAACATTCATGTACAGCTGACCTAATTGGGAGTACCATTAAGCCACTGACAAACGGACCCTAAATTAAATACAAGGGTTTTTTGGCGATCTAGATGGCTGGAAGGGACTTGAGAGGTAGAGGATAGAAAACATATCTGCCTACCCCCCCCCCCACCTCTTTTCACCTCACCTCCGGGTGGGATATACTAGGCTCGTTTCGTTTGGTGTTTTGTGAACGTGGAAAATTCTGGTATTTTTTTGATGTGTCTTGTTTTATGCAGTCAGAAACTGAGCAACGTCGACACAAAGCTAGCTTCTACGTTAAAAAAGAAAACGCGCAGGAAGTAATGAAGACTCTTTCTGAACGTCTAGCCAAACGAGGGGTGAGAATTGAAAATTTCCTTCAAATCTTAGCTGTAAACGAGGAATGTGTTGGTTAACGAATTTGTTGGTTGTCAGCTAGATATCAAAATAATTTACAGTGGCGGGATGGACTTGGATATATTGCCAAAAGGTGCTGGGAAAGGACAAGCTCTCGCTTATCTGCATAAAAAATTAAAGGAAAAGGGAAAATTACCAAAAAATACCCTTGCGTGTGGAGATTCTGGGAATGATGCCGAGCTATTCACCATTCCAGACGTGCATGGTGTGATAGTCAAGAATGCACAGGAAGAATTGTTGCAGTGGCATGCTGAAAATGCCAAAAATAACCCTAAGATTATTCATGCCAATGAAAGGTGTGCAGCAGGTATCATAGAAGCTATTGGTCATTTTAAGCTGGGTCCAAATATATCGTCCAGAGATGTAACGGATCTTTCAGATGCTAAGTTGGACCATTTTGATCCTGCGTATGAAGTAGTGAAGTTTTTCTTGTTTTATGAGCGATGGAGACGTGCAGAAGTTGAAAATCACGAGGTCTATCTGAGCAATCTGAAATCTGTTTGCGTATGTTCACTCATCTTGTTAACTACTGTTTATATTCGTTCTCTTTATACAACTTGTAAGGTATTCATTTGAGGGTTTTGAACCATTATCTTTCTGTTTATGCAGTCTCCTTCTGGCGTATTTGTTCATCCCTTGGGTGTTCATCAATCTCTTCATGTTTGCATTGATAAATTGAAAGATTGCTGTGGCGATAAAAAGGAGGAACAATATCGAGTCTGGGTTGATCAAGTTTTCCCTTCACAGATTGATTCGGACACGTGGCTTGTGAAGTTCCAGAAGTGGGAGCAAACTGGTGAGTTATCTATCATTCACTTGTGAAGTAAATTTCAGAACAGTTGTCATTCACTTGTGAAGTGAAGCTGAAAACAGTTATCATTCACTTATGAATTAAATCTGAAAACAATTATCATTCACTTGTGAAGTAAATCTGAAAACAGTGATCATGTTATGAGAAAAGCATTTGATACAAGTTGTACCATTGTGGAAAGTGTAGGTCAAGAGCAGCAGGGTTGCTTGACCACAGTTGTAGTTAGCTCAAAGGTAAGGTTTCTTAAAAGCAAACCATTCTTATACCAAAGGGTCTGAGTTACCGGTAAATCCCAGTTTATGTGGAGGTCAATGGTTGATGTGATTTAGTTTTGTTGGTATCAGGGAGTGAAACCTACAGAAGGGCTGACTTGGCTTCATGTGCATCAGACATGGATGGAGGGCACGACAAAGAATAGTCGCAATGATTGGTTCTTTTAAGGTTGTACCTTCTGCCTACCTCACCTGCCTTTCAGATTCAATAAATTACATTAAAAATAAATGTACAATATTATTTGTTTTCTTAGTTTTATTATCACATATTATCCGTTGCATTACAATGTATATGAGGTTGGGTTTGTGCGAGACTATCCTGTTTTCGTTAGATCAGTTGTGAAAGCACAGAAACACATGTTAACTTTCAAAGCAAAAACACTGTAGGTATAGAAACAAACTTTCGTAGTGTTTTTGTTATGAAAGTTTAATGTCTTTCTGTGCCTTCACAAGGTTTTGTTGTGAAAGTGTTTTTTCTGGTCTTATGGGTCTCAGCCCAGGTGAACAAGTTGGTCTCACATGATCTCACAATTTATATCTACTTTTTGCATATGAAAAGAATAGTGAAGTCAATTTTCTTTAAGACATCCATAAAATATTTCAATTGGAATGTTATGCACCATAAAGATGATGTTGTTTAAAGAAAGCAACATATGCATGTAGTTTAGATAAAGTCAAAGGATGTCACTAGAAGTTAGGATTGTTGGTCTAAATCGATCTCTAGTTTTTAGGCCAAGAATCGGTTAAAAACTGATACTGTCATGGGAAGGAGTAAAGGACCATAGTCTTTTGACCATTGGGATCGGATCCATGAGAACCGAAACAAGGAACAGTCTTTAGAGCATCTCCATTGGCAAAGAGTTGTCACAACATGTGAACGCTTTTTTTGTCCATGTTTAAAAGAATTTATAAACAATTAACGTATTAAATATGATTAAAATATAATACTACCAAAATTATATTCTCTTGTTTTGTTCTATAAACATTTGAATACATTTTAAACGACTTTCAACCATTTCACTTGTTTTATTTTTTAATTTGAACCTAGAGATATAATTTATACCAAACGACTCGTTACTAAATAAAAGAGTTGATTTGTCACATCTAATGTAGACTATCGAACCGTTATGAAGAGGAGACTTGCCAAAAAGCCGATGTCAAATACATGAAACAATGTAATAGGGGGTATATCAAACAAAACGTGTGAATAACCTAACTGGCACCTTTGAATGCTGAACGAAGCCTATATACTATGATTATATCCTTATAAACCGTTATAAGTGAATTTGATATTTACACAACCATGAACCAATAGGCTATTTTGTTATTAAAAATTCATGGTGGCAACATGGTGTTGGCTTGCTATATGCACAATCATTTATATTAAAATCAAGTCAAATCATACATTCGGAACATAAAAAAATTCATTATGACACGTGAGACGGAAATTAATAGATAAGATATGCATTTAGCAATGTATAAATCAGAACCGATTATAATCTGTTTGTTTCTTAATTCTTAACGGCTAATTCTAAATAGACGTAAACAAAAAGGGCTCTAGATTCAAAATCATAACTACATCATTTTTAATCGATCATTTATACGTAAAAGAAGGTCGTTTCGTTTTTGTTTCATATTTTTCAAATAAAAAAGGTCATGTGCTCGTATCTACATCACATAGCCGAATCGTATCTAAACGAAATCGAACCGACTCAGATTGATCCAATTTTCTTTGACACCAATATCTTGTATTTTTCGGTTTTGATTTGATCGGATCCTAAGCATATCCGATTAAAATTTGGATGTTACAACAGAAAAACATAAAAAAAAAAAAAATTTAAAACGTGGATATGGACAAAAAGCGAGCGAGACGGTTTTTGTAGTTTTCTGTCCTTTTTGGACTCCACGGAAAATGGCAGACTGACTTTCGTTTTTTACCCCTGTCGTTTGATGAAAATTGCTATTTTCATTCTTATGTTTTTAAAATTATAATTTTCATCCCTATAGTTTATAATTTCGTTATTTTCTCGGTTTATGATTTAATTTTTTTTTTTTCCGTTTATATGGTTTATGACTTATTATTATTTTCAACTTTTTGAAGTTTTATTTAAAGGTAAGGGTTGGAACTGTTTGGTTGGTTTTTTCATTAAATCTTTTATAGATAAAATTATGTGTGGATTGATAACGTTTTTATTTTGGAGGGTTTTTTCATAGATGAAATGAGCCTATTTTTTTTAATAGGGAAGGACGTGTATGAAGAAAAACATGATTTTTTTTTGTATAAATCTCCCCTCTAAAAGTTTATTGAATAAGTTAAAGGTTGTTTACTAAGCTTTAACACCTCTTACCGGTTGGAATCTAAGAGGCGATTTGTTTAATAAAATGAAAATTGTCTTTGGTTGATGACTGTGCTTTTGCCTGGAGTAAAAGGTAGAACCCATGCTTACTCCAGCCAGCAGTCTACATTCTTAAATTACCTTTCCCTCGATCTTTTACATCGCTTAAAAATCATTTTCTTTCACTACAGTGACACCCTGCAATCGTTTACATCGCTTACAACTTTTTTTTTCGTTTTTCTTTCACAACAATGACACCTAGCCGTACAAACTTCTTTCCCATGCCACACGCATATACTCTCACTAAAGTACTCTCGAGAATGATGAGGATTAGAGGAAAAGAGGGATACGGGTCTTTGGAAGAAAGAAGTTAATATTTTTAAGCAAAAAACGATACTTTTATAAATAAAATACTTTAAATTAATGTTTATTTTAAATTGTATAAGGGTATATTTGTCATTTTTATTCGATCAAAACTTAATACCAAAACATCAAGTAAAACACTAGTTTCTAATCAGCACTTAATTCAGTCAGTCATTTTATTTCAATCTAAGTCAGTACTTACCCAATATTTTTTTGTAAGCAAGCCCTTACTTATGATATCATTAAGCTACTACCAAACAATCATGTATAACTAATCGAATAAATTGTGAGTCTTATTAAGCTCGTTAAGCTACTAAAAAACATACCCCTAATTTCATGGATGAAAATAGCAATGAATTGAGACCATAAGAATGAAAATCGAAATATTGAAACCATAGGGAAGAATCCATAATTTTTAACAAACCACAAGGACTAAAAGTGTAATTTTAGTCAAAAGATTAATAAGAGCCCTGACGACCACTCCATTATTACATTCATACCCTCCTTCCTCCATGGTCCCCATAAGTCCTTAAGGTTTCACAATGGCATAGACTGGGAGGAAGAAGACGAGAGAGAATCTCGAAACGGAATCCTTCAATTTGCCAGCGACGAATCATTTTCCGGCGATTTAGGAGATCGGATCCGGATTATCCTTTCATCAAATTCTGAGATCTAGATTTGATCGCTGTTTGCATAAGGAAGAAGAACGAGATCGGTAGCTTGAATCTGGATTCTTATGACGATTCAAAAAATTGTGATCCATCAGTATACGGTGGAACGACCGCAGCCGTTGTTAGAAGTACAATATTCAAGTCACAATAGGTTGGCGGAGGTCGCTGGTGGAACGACGGCTGAGTGTGCAGCGGTCTGTTGTTGCTGTCCGTTCGCTTTGGTGAACTTGTTGGTTCTGGCGGTGTACGGAGTTCCGGCAGGGCTGTGCCGGAAGGCGTTAAGGAAGAAGCGCCGCCGTAGGCTTTTGAAGAAAGGATTGTTGGTCCAGGATGGCGATGTAAGTAGTCACCGTGGGAGTAGTAGCTACGACGCGGCGGAGTTATTGATCCATGAGGCGATCAGGTACGACGTGACGGAGGTGTTGATCGATTCTCCGGCGGAGAGATTTATGATGGCGGCCGATAGTGACGTGATTGAAATAGAGAATGAAATGTGGGACAAGTTCTACGGAACGGGGTTTTGGAGAAGCGCTTCACAAAGAGTCGATTGATTTGATGATCACGAAACGACATCAATGCCGACCTCCTGATGAGTCATGCACATGTGAATTGTACGGTACGATTCAGCACTGCATGCAGGAAATATCCCTTTTTTTCATGTACATATTTACTTTATTGCCCTTTAGATTCTTTGAATTTCAAGTGAGGGATTTGTCTCTAAATCAAAAATAGAGGATTTTTGTTTTCCGATTCACGTCACCTATCAAATTTGGAATTTATATCTATTTTATTAGAAGTTCATTTTTTTTTTATTAACATGTATATTCAACCCTTTTTTCTAGCCGACTAATTACAGGACGACCACCTGTTTTACAGATAGCTCGGAGTCATTACATTTGATCCTTCGTGGCCACAAGAAGATTTTTATTCCTATTTGGATTTGAACCTGAAACCTCCTGGTACTTTTGACATTTGGAGTCAAGCTCAAATCAATCAGACATCACCCTTATGGTTGAAATTTATAATTATACTCATAATCACACGCCATTTAATTATAACTTCAAACATTTTAAAATGGACTTTAAAATAATTTATATTTTTCATAAAATCATTGTCTTGTTGGTTTGTTCTTTATTTTTTGTGTATGAGATCCAGTATTCGAGTCTTTTATTACAAAAAAATTAATAAAATGAGCCAAACAAGATTCAAACTCGCACACAACAAAATGATGTTGCAGCACCTTTCACGACCCTGTAATTTTATTACATTACGGTGGAGCAACAAAGTGATGTCCCATGTTACCATATGCTATATAGAGTAGGTCCCCCTGCCAGAGAAGCACCAAATCAATTTTCTTCTAAAACCGCAATTCTATGAATTGGTTTGAGATTAAAAGTGATTAAGGGTTCAAATTTATTTTTACATTTATCATCCGAACTCCTATTTTCACACGATCTTTCGTCATATATATACATATATGTAGTCAATGAACGACATTAAGAATTAAAATTTATATAAAATAAGAAATTCATATATTTGATATCATGATATAACGCTTACAAAAAGCGTTTCTTTAAAGATTAAAGAACTCATAATAACATAAAAATGAGATAAACTTTCAAAATAAAACTCATGCAATATAATACGCGTAGCCTTAAACAGTTGTTACAGAAGTTAACATGATGTCAATGAATTCTAGAAACCATGATATTGCGTCAAAGAAATCTATTTAAATAGTTTTCAAAAACTATTTATGATAAAAATGAGTTGTTTATAGAACTCATAGTATAAGAATATATGATTTTTTTTTCATTTAAAAATATGATTTAAAATATTAATTCATATATATTTGTTATTTACAATATATCTGTTTTTACAATTACATATAAAAATATTTTATATTATGAACTAAATATATATAAAACAATCATATTATAAAAAATATATATTTTAAGATATAGATAAAATATATGGCTTATTAGATAAAGATTAAATTAAGATATGAGAGTTGTGCTACTTTTTGCATGTTTGACTTTTGAAAGTATTTCTACTTTCTAGAAATCCAACAACATTAATTAATACAGTTGGTTATGATGAGAAAATAAAACCAACTTTGGCTGTTTTTTGTTGAAATTAAGCATTCAGATATCTGAATTTATTCATGTGTTTATCCTCAAAAACTTGGTTGTCGGCTTAACACATCATCAAGTGTACGACTTTATCATCCCAGAATGGTACATGTATGCCTTTTTATGTTATAATCAGATTAAATCATATACAGACGTTTATCAATTGTTTATTGGAGTAAGTGCTTACCGATTATAGGTCTTGTTGGTAAATAAGAGTTTTCTCCCTCATTTATCAGATAAGATTATCGGTCATTGCTATGTTTTTTATCGGATAAAATTCTTGGTCATTGTCAAGCCACCTGCTAAGGCTACCAACACCCAATAAGCGGATACCTAATAAGTGTTTGCTAAACGGCCTCTAAGTCTTGATGTTAGTGTGTGTAAAGGAAAAATTAGTAGATAGTGTGCATTTAGCAATATATAGGAGTTTATTTAGCCTACCCCTTATCTTATCTTATCTTATCGTATATGTGTGTATGGAGGGAAATGAAAGATGTGTGAGTATAACTCTTGAAGTTGTATTTGTAACACGATTTTTTTTTTAAAACGACAATTATCCAGTTGGTTGGCTTTTTTTAGTTCCGTGTTATAAATGCACGCAGTGATTTATACTAAAAGCTTCTCAACGCAGTTCTAACCTTATGCCAAGAAAAACATACAAAGAGGTACAGAAGATGTCATGTTTCTACTTTCTGCTTTGTGTATACTGATATACAAAAACATAACGGAATTTAAAACGATGTTAATTTGATTTTGTGTATATACAATTGTTACATAGTTGTATCTTCGTGTTTTTTTATAGCAAATTATCTTACAACAGTGTTTTTTTTTAAACAACAGCAAAACTAAAATTAGTTGTTGTATTCTTATGAATTAGCATCTCAAATACAATCCTACATAACACATATAACAATTAGTTTAAACGTTTGAATCAATATAGTCTGATGTTTTTAAACAGTTTGATTATTATATAACAATAATGTAATTTTATGAATGTATCTGTTTATGATAACACATTTTCTATTCTTTTCTTAATTAACCTGAATATTCAACCCACTATACAAGTCAGACTAATCCCAGGACGACCACCTACTTCGCGGGTAGCCCGTAGCCACCACATTTGAACCTCCATGGCCACAAGGAGATTTTTTATTCCTCCTTGGATTCGAACTTAAAACCTCCATACACTTATTTGAGTTAGTTACTAAAAACTTATTTGAGTTATGGACTAACTATAACACAGTTCATATGAAATGAGGTGATAGGCTAAATCAAATTAAGAGATTCAATCTTTTAGGTTTGACGATCATATAAAAATACAAAAAACATAGTTTTTTTCTTTATAAAATTTAATGAAAAATCAATCAAATAGTCCTGTAATCATATATAAAAATACTCGGTTATTATGAAGAAAAAAAATCTTATTATAAAAATGTCACATTCTAAACGATTGCTTTCATAAATAAATAAATAAATAAGAAAAGCAGTCACATTTTAAAAATTAAGCGCATCTAAAAAATCGACCACGTGTTAAATTTTGTCAAAAAACAGACATATCAAAACATTTATATTATAAGATTAGTCATATTTTAAAGTCGATTGTACAAAAATGAACCATGTTTACGTCATGAAAAGTGGTCGATAATAATAAATAAATAAAAGATAAAAAGGTCAGTTGTTGAAAAAATACATGTTTTAAAAAGTTTGTATTAATTCGGTTTGTATTAATCCTGTTGGTAGGGGTGCTCATGGGTTGGGTTGATCGGGTTGAACACATTTGAACAACTCAACCCAATGCTTGCGGTTTAGAAAAATCTTAACCCAACCCAACCTAAACCAAAGTGCAACACAACCCAACCCGTACGGGTTGGTCGGGTTAATCGGGTTGATACTTTGGTATATTAAAATATTCTTTTAACCTCGAATATGTTATTTCTCTACTCATAATTTCTTTTTTCATCATCAACCATTTGATACAACTTATCTATATTTCTTACGTATATCACATTCAGTCAATTTCTCAATTTACATATATATGTTCACATTTACTAAACATGTAAATGAGTTATATAGAGATATGAATAAATTGAAAATATATGTATATGAAAAGCATACGTGATAGTGTAATTGTTTAATGTATATATTAATATAAATTCAACAATCATATTAAATCCAAGAAATAAAATGATATCGGGTTCATCGGGTTGGGTTGGATTCAAATAATAGCAACCAAATATCAACCTAATACCTACGGTTTAAAAATTTTACAACTCGATTAGACATCGGGTTACTTCGGGTTGGGTTAATCGGGTTGGTCGGGTTTTTGAGCACCCCTACCTGTTGGTGTTAGACTATCATGCTTGATTTGTAGCTTATAGTAGTTTTTTTCAAAAAGAAAGCAGATATATTAAACAAAATGAAGGGGAAACAAAAGAAAGTCTGAAGGATCGATCTGTATGATGTAGGGAAAAAAAAACTGTAGCTTATAACAGTTATCAAGTAAAAGTTCAAGTATGAAGGGTATTCTTACATTTCAAAATTACAAGCTATGACTACTAAATAAAATAATACAATACATTAATAATGATATATTTCAGTTTAAAATTCAAGCAATAGAAATTAACATTCGTCTCAAACAATAATTAATATAAAAAGATCGGGTTTCGATGAGAATGAGAGTTAAGGTGAGAAGTGTAAAAAGTGATATCCATCTTTAGATGTACATTAGGATGAGATGCACCAGATTAATCATCATATCAAACGCGATTCATGAGTGAGTTGAGATTAAAGATGATCAAAGATCCAGATCTTTTCTCGCGCTTTTCACCTTAACTATATTTCTCACACGATCCTTCGCCTGATATAAAAATAGTCTAAATGTTTGCGATTATTTAAAAAAAGTTTGAAAAAACCCAATGAACTATCATATGTTTGAGTGATTAAGTTCTTAAACTATTTTTTTAACAAATAAATCCTTAAACTTACGAAAACCCAGAAAAAACCCAATAAACTTTTATATTTTGAGTGAACCCCAAATAGGATTTATTATAATTGCCCAGTAGATAGGTTCATTTATTTTATTTTGGAAGTTGCCTTTACATCGGTATTCAAATAAGGTTTGGCCTCAATGGGAAAATAAAACGGAGCATCTAACGATACATTTTCACAGACCAAGAACTACGAGATCACCCCTTTCGCCTCTTAAAAAACATTTTTTTTATCCATGAAGTATTGTTTATTGATTCAAATTACTTAAAATTCAAGATTACAAGTAAATTTTGCGTAAGTATAACCTATTAAAACTTCATGTTTGAATTCGTGTAACTAACTACAGGTAAAAATAATCACATAGAGGATAAACATCTCATTTTATGTATAAAAAAATCTAAAATATAATTAGAATAATCATTGAATTCTAACAGAAATACTTAATTACTAACTTTATAAAAAATTATATTATTAAACCAAAAATAAAAAAAATGAATTAATGAGATTACACAAAAAAAAAAATTAGTTTGGTATTGATATCAATATATAAATTTTTATGATATCTCATATTTGTATATTATTCAAAAATAAAAACATCATCGTTTTCTCAAATTCACATAAAACTGTATAATAATATCGACCAAGACAAAATAAAACGAATAATAATACTAGTACAAACATTAGGTAACTGAATAGAAATTACGGGATGTTTTTACATGATTAATGAAGTAGAAATGGAATTAATTCAACTAATTACGTAATTATTGAAGTAGAAATGAAATTAATTCAATTAATTACGTAATTAATGAA